AAACTATTTTTTCTCTAACAAGTAGGCAGCTAAGGGTAGAAATGGTCTCATGTGTGCTATGGTGTTGTGTATGTGTCTCAATCTTTGATTCCAATATCTGAAGAATCAAAAATATAATTAACTGAAGGATGCCTTAGACTCTTCAAAACACTCCACTGCAATTCCTTCTGCTTAAATTCTCAGATAATGTAATTCTGTGCTGGAAGGCTTACCTGATACCTCCTCTGTGAATGAAGACAGAGGCTCTGAAGAGACCAAGCCCAGCCCATCAGGTCCAGAGCTTCTGGTGCTCCTAATGGGCCCAAAGGGGTGGGCTGAGTTCTCCTCCAGAAGTCAAATGTCCTCTCTGCAAACCAGGAGAGAACTCTTGGAATAGCACTAGGCTGCCAGGCAGGACTCGGCTCTCCAGAACTACGAAGGGGTCGGCTGCCGTGACTTATGCCTGAAATCCCAACACTTTGGGAGGCCAAGGCAGCAGGGATCACTTGAGTCCAGGAGTTCAAGATCAGCCTGGGCAACATAGGAAGACCTCATTGCTACAAAAAATAAAAAAACAGCCAGGTGTGGTGGCATGCACTTGTAGTTCAGCTCCTTGGGAGGCTGAGGTGGGAAGATCACTTGAGCCTGAGAGGTCAAGGCTGCAGTGAGCCATGACTGTACCACTGCACTCCAGCTTGGGTGACAAAGTGAAACCCCATCATACAACAAAACAAAACAAAACAAAAAGGAGCTAAGAAGGTACTTTTCTTCTCCTCCAATAAGGTGTCCCTAAAGACCTCATGGCAAAGGAGACCCTGGAGTAAGAAAGGGAAACCACGGAACAGTAATTGTGCGTCCCCTACATCAAAGAACCTTCAAAAAGGAACTTTCCACATGAGCTTGCCCCTTCTCGTTTCTGCTAAGTAGACCCTTCCAGAAGGGGAGCATACACTATCCTTACTAGGAAGAAGTACTAAACAGAAGTGACAGGTGTGACCCTGGCTGGAGATGGGTAATATACACCCTGCAGCCTCACAGCCCCCTTCTTTCTTTCACACTTCTCTGGGTTGCCTAGAGAGAGTGGTTGTCGGCCCCACAGTGAGCCTCCTTCTTTGCAGGGGAACCCCCACAAGAAAGGAAAAATACCTTAACAAACTGAAGATGTCAGGTTAAAAAACAAGACATAAACATACTTAGAAGAATTCTACATTGTTGATTCTCATCATCCATTGTAATGGAGGAAAAAGGCAAAAGCTCCAGCAAAACCAAAACAAGAAGTCGAAACTACATATTTAACATACACAAGCATTTCAAGATGTTTCACAGACTTGTTTGCTTAATTATTCACTGCTCAGTCTCCAGGCCAACTTTGTAAGACTCTGAATCTGAGGCAGCACTAGAAAATAGATCGGGCCTATGTCTCTATCCCAACAGTTATTCTATGATAACACCTTTACTCCTCTTGGTCTTCTGGAGGGAAGGAGATGAAAGCTCCGCAAAAGAGGGGACATTTGTACAATGCCTAGAAATTCAGGTGAAGGTTTTCCAGGTGGACCTGGGGAGGGGAGGCATCTCCACAGAGGGGAGGAATGCGCAGATGCACAGAGGGTGTATCAAGGGTTACAGATGATAAAATGTAAGCTGTGTAAATCAGACAAGTCAGAAATAGGGCTGCAGAGGAAAGTGCATCTAATCAATAATGGCCTCATGACATGCTGGCAGGCTGGTCCTCATCCCAGGGCAATGGGGAGCCACTGAGGGGTTTCAATCAGCAAAGTTACAAGATCATACCTACATGTCAGATCCCTAACAGGGCTGTTGGGATTACAAGGGGGGAGAAGCTGGGAATTCATGTTCAAAGGCTACTCCAATGGTCTGAATGAAAGACAGTGGTGACCTGAGCTAAGTCAGCAGCAGAGGGGATGAAGAGGAGGGGGCAGATCGGAGAAAGACATAGGAGGGAGCAGCAGCTGGACTTTTGGTAACTGATGCAGGTAGCGTGGAGGCAAAAGAGAAGGAGTCAGAGTCCGTGGGCAGATGATGATCCCTGGTGCCATTAACTGAGACAGGGACTCCAAGAGGATGAGCAGAACTGGAGGAAAGACAGAGTTTGATGTATGACCATTACCTATGACATCTTAGCACATACTGGGCCATCCTTAGCAGCTTCTGAAAATTCATTTGGAGAGGGAGGAACACCAACAACAAATTACAACCCAATGCGGTCTCAACTGAATAGGACAGTGGCAACATCAAAAACAATATTCAGTGCTGGGTGAGATGGCTCACACCTGTAATCGCAATACTTTGGGAGGCTAAGATAGGAACATCACTTGAGGCCAGAGCTCCAGAACAGCCTAATAAGACCCCATCTCTACAAAAAAAATATTTTTAAATTAGCCAGATGGGGTGGTACATGCTTATAGTCCCAGCTACTTAGGAGGCTGAAGCAGGAGGATCACCTGAGCCCCGGAGTTGGAGGCTACAGTGATCATACCACTTCATTCCAGCCTGAGTGACACAGAGAGATCCTGTCTCAAAAAAAAAAAAAAAAAAAAAAAAAAAAAAAGCTGTAGGAGGAGCAATCACTGGGCACTGGGCACTGGGCTAGGGCAAAGCTTTACCTCAGAAATGGGACCCTGAGCTAAGGCCTGAAGGCAAGTTTCATTTAGTGGGAGGTAAGACCATTCTGAGTCAGGAGCGCCTTGTGAGAAGAGATGGAACAATATCAGAACACAAACTTGATCAGTATCATTGGAGGAATGTCCATATAAGAGTAACAGAGAAGGCTGGAGGCAAAACGTAGAAAGAACTACACCCAGAGAATTGTAACCTTAGGTTGCAGGCCAAGGGGAATCACTAGAGGTTTTTGATTATGGAAAATGACAGAGATTAACATGCGAAAGGAACTAGACCAATGAATTGAAAGACAGCTATTGTCTAGAAGTATGAACCATTTCCTAAGGGTGAAATCAGTGAAAATTGATAATCATGTGAAGAGAGCAAACAAAAGCAGTGGAAAGGCCAAAGGTATATGGAGTTTGGGGCCTAACCTAGATCAGGGTCAGCAAACTGTAGCCCAAAGGCCTATGCCAGCTGCTGCCTATTTTTGTAAGTTTTACTGAAACACAGTCACACCCCTTTATTTATATATTATCTACAAGATGAGTAGTTGTGATTGAGACCTTATGGCCCATGAAGACAAAAGTATTACTCTCTGGCTCTTTACAGAAAGATCTGCCAATCTCTGTTGCCATTAATCAGCCAGGGAACTCAGGGAAAGAACATGTTTTAAAGGGAAGGAAATGAGTTTAAATTTGGACACAAAAGTACCCAAATAGAAATATCTGGCAAGAAGTTGGAAATAAAGACAAATTGTGTAGTTAAACATAGGGCTGGGGTTATCATTCAAGAGTCTTTCTCAAATGGTAAACGCTAAGACTAAGAGCTGTGAAACTTTTCAAGAAAGAGCACAGGAAAAGAAAAGAAAAAGCAAATCCATTTAAGGAGTGAAAGAAAGAACCAGAGAAAATGCAATCTGAGAGGTTGGAGGAGTCTCCAAGTTTAGCATCATGGGACATGGGAAAAAGCAGCTTCAAAAGAGAGAAGCCAAATGTGCAGACGTGGAAGATGAGGTTTTTAAAGGGGAGATGACAGGCAGATGACCTGGGAGATGACAGGCAGACTTCGTCCATGATACCCACCCCATCATTAACAGTCCTGTTGGAATCTCATCCTTATACTAAGCTAAAGCCCATCCATACCCCCATAACTTTCACCTGCAAATTTAATTCCACCTCTGGAATTTACCCTGCCAAGATGGGGAAAGAGAGAGATGTGGAAAACAGCATAGAAGCAGCAAGGCATATGTGGCTTAATTAAACTGTATCTCATTTAAGTGAATTAGAAAGTAAAGCTAGAAATGCAAGTTGGACAAAAGGTTTTGGATGCCAAGTTAATAACTGAAATTTTATTTCAAAAAATAGACTTGCAACAGTCCTAAAACAACAGGTTGGAGGACAAGCTAGAGGGGTGGAGACTGGGCTGGAGGTGCTGGGCAGAATTAAGGAACTATCTCAGTGGTACAGGTGTGCAGTGGAAGAGGCAGGAGAGAAATATTACAAAAGAAGCTCAGCAGGACTTGGTGGCTAAAGATTAGGGATGATGAAAAGCCCAAAGGGGCCTCTAGTATTTGGAAGACTGTAAGAGTAAACCTGCAAGAAGTAAGGCAATCTAGAGGGTCAGTTGGTTTGGGATAACTCTGGTTTTTAAAAATATTGATTTGTAGGAAGACATTCAGGTAGAAATGTTTGACAAAAAGATAAATGGGAGCTGAAACTTAAAATAAAGGGCTGGACTGCAGGTAGAGTCATCCACACAAGAGTAACTGAACCACAAGACAGTTGACTGACCCCCAAGGAGCAACTGAACAGTTCAAAGAGCAAAGAGTCAAGGGCCAAAGCCATGTTTAGAGAATGAGGGAAAGCAGAACCAGAAAAGAGAAAGAAGAGTGCTGGGAAAGGAAGTACACCTACCCTGGATACCCTGAGCAGACTTTCGCAACCACCTTCTGAGTAAGGAAAAGTGTAATGGCATTATCCCCGTTATATTGCGCAGTCATCTGAGGACTAAACTAGGTTTAGATTATTAAAATCCCATTAAAGGCCTTGAGTACTATACCCACCACACTGGAAATAAAATCTTAATGTATTTATGAGGTTTTTTTTTTTTTTTTTGGAGACAGAGTTTCACTCTTGTTGCCCAGGCTGGAATACAGTGGCATGACCTTGGCTCACTGTAACCTCCTCCTCCCAGGTTCAAGTGATTATCCTGCCTCAGCCTCCCAAGTAGCTGAGTTTTTAATAAACTTGGCTAATTACTATTTGCCACACAAGGTTTCAAAATGTTCACCTGTCTCATTCTCTCACTTCTTATGAAATTAACTTTGCTTGCGGCATGGTTTGGCTCTGTGTTCCCACTCAAATCTCATCTTGAATTTGTAATCCCCACATATTGGGGAGGGGTCTGCTGGGATGTGATTGAATGATGGGAGCAAATTTCCCCCTTGCTGTTATCTTGATAGTGAGTGAGTTCTCACGAGATGTGGTCGTTCAAAAATGTGTGCCACTTCCCCCTTCTCTCTCCCTCTCTCCTGCTCTGCCATGGTAAGATGTGCTTGCTTCTCCTTCACCTCCCAGCCATCCTTCTGTATAGCCTGCAGAACTGTGAGTCAAATAAACCTATTTTCTTCATAAATTACCCAGTTTCAGGTAGTTCTGTGTAACAGGGTGACAATGGACTAATACGGAAAGTTGGTACCAAGAGTAGGGTACAGCTATAAAGATACCTGAAAAGCATGGAAGCAGCTTTTGAATTGGGCGTCAGGTAGAGGTTGGAACAGTTTGGAGAGCTCAAAAGAAGACAGGAGATATGGGAAAGTTTGGAACTTCCTAGTGACTTGTTGAATGGTTGAGATAAAAATGCTGATAGTGATATGGACAATGAAGTCCAAGCTGAGGTGGTCTCAGATGGAGATTGAGAAACTTATTGGGAACTGGAGTAAAGGTCACTCTTCCTGTGATTTAGCAAAGAGACTGGTGGCATTCTGCCCCTGCCCTAGAGATCTGTGGAACTTTGAACTTGAGAGAGATAAGGGTATCTGGAGGAAGAAATTTCTAAGCAGCAAAGCATTCAAGGTGTGGCCTGGCTGTTTCTGAAAGTGTATGCTCATGTGAGTAAAGAAAGAGGTTGTCTGAAATTGGAACTTACATTTAGGGAAGCACAGCATAAAAGTTTGGAAAATTTTCAGTCCAACCATGCAGTAGAAAAGAAAAACCCATTTTCTGGGGAGAAATTCAAGCCAGCTACAGGAATTTGCATAAGCAACAAGGAACCAAATGCTAATAGCCAAGATAATGGGGAAAATATTTCCAGGTCATTTCAGAGAGCTTCACAGTAGCCCTTCTCATCACAGATTGGGAGGCCTAGAAGAGAAAAATGGTTTTAGGGGCCAAGCCCAGGGCCCTCACTGCTCCATGCAGGCTTGGAACCTGGTATCCTATGTCCCAGCCACTTCAACTCCAGCCATGGCTAAAGGGGCCAATGTACAGCTTGGATTGTGGCTTCAGGGGGTCCAAGCCCCAAGCCTTGGCAACTTCTATGTGGTGTTGGGTCTGTGGGTGTACAGAAGGCAAGAGCTGAGGTTTGAGAACCTCCACCTAGACTTCAGAAGAGGTATGGAAATGTCTGGATGTCCAGACAGAAGTCTGCTACGGGGATGGAGCCCTCATGGAGACCCTCTACCAGGGTAGTGCAAAAGGGAAATGTGGGGTTGGAACCCATACACAGGGTCCCCAGTGGGGCACTGCCTAGTGGAGCTGTGGGAAGACAACCACTATCCTCCAGACCCCAGCTTGCACCTTGCACATGGAAAAGCTAGGCACTCAATGCTAGTCCATGAAAGCAGCCACAGGGGCTGTACCCTGCAGAGGCACGGGGGTGGAGCCGCCCAAGACCTTGGGAGCCTACCCCTTGCATTGACATGCCCTGGGTTTGAGACATGGAGTCAAAGGAGATTATTTCAGAGCTTTAAGATTTAATGACTGCCCTTCTGGGTTTAGGACTTGCATGGGACCTGTAGACCTATTATTTTGGCCAATTTCTCCCTTTTGCAATGGGAGCATTTACCCAATGCCTGTGCCCCCATTGCATCTTGAAAGTAACTAACTTGTTTTTGATTTTACAGGCTCATAGGTGGAAGGGACTTGCCTTTGTCTCAGATGAGACTTTGAACTGTGGACTCATTAATGCTGGAATGAGTTAAGACTTTAGGGGAGATGCCAAGCATGGTGACTCATGCCTGTAATCCCAGCACTTTGGGAGGCCAAAGTGAGTGGAGCACTTGAGGTCAGGAGTTCAAAACCAGCCTAACCAACATGGCAAAACGCCACCTCTACCAAAAATCCAAAAACTTAGCTGGGCATGGTGGTTCATGCCTGTAGTCCCAGCTATTCAAGAGGCTGAGGCAGAATAATTCCTTGAACCTGGGAGGCAGAGGTTTCAGTGAGCCAAGGTCATGCCACTGCACTCCAGCCTGGGTGATAGACTGATGCTCTGTCTCAAAAACAAAAACAAAAACAAAGGCTTTGAGGGATTATTGGGAAGGCATGATTGGTTGAGAAGGACACAAGATTTGGGAGGGGCCGGGGCAGAATGATATGGTCTGGCTCTGTGTCCTCATTCATTTTGAATTGTAATCTCCACCTGTCAGGGGAAGGGCTGGCTGAGAGGTGATTCAATCGTGGGGGCAGACTTCCCCCTTGCTATTCTCATGATAGTGAGTTCTCATGAGATCTGGTTGATTGAAAGTGTGTAGCACTTCCCCCTTCTCTCTCTCTCTCTGCTCCACCATGCTGGTGCTTCCCCTTTGCCTTCCACCATGATTCTATGTCTCCTGAGGCTTTCCAGTCATGCTTCTGTACAGCCTGTGGAACTGTGAGTCCACACTGGTATAAAGAGCTACCTGAGACTGAGTAATTTCTTCATAAATTATACCAGTGTGAGAATGGACTAATACAGCCAGTTCTTGGGAACCAGATTCACAGCTACAGCTACAACCCAACTAGTTCTTCAGCCAAGTGACAGACTGAGAGCATTTTCTGAACATCAGGTAAAATTAAAACCAGACTGGTTTTAGATGCAACTGGTTGGCAGGACTCCCAGCAGGACTGTTAAACCAAATGGTGAGTTGAGGCCCATTAGGGAATTTTTTGGGGGGCAGTGAAATTTTCTCTATGGCTTATAACAGTAGATAGTGAACACTAAGCATTTGTCAAATCCCACAGAACTTTATAGCACACTAAACTTCAATATATGCAATTTTTTAAAATTAGGGTATCAAGAGATCCTGGGGTGAAATATGGAATTCAGACTGTGACATGAGAATCAACTGTATCAAAATGCATGAAATAACCTCACTGAAGAAGTGAGGGAAAAGGTGCTAGCTTAAGCACCTTGAGAAATGAGTAGAGATTCTAGATCTAAGGGTAAAAACAAATTTCACATAATCACTGAACTCTAGCCAATAAAGTTATTTCTTATAAGGGGTACAGGTTAGCAATTCTGAAAACACTTATAGATGTAAGTAAATGGATGGTGGATGGTAGGAACCAGTTTTTCACTGTTAGAGCAGGAGTTTGCAGACAAGGGGGAAAGCCTAGAATTATCCCTGTAATGCTATATTGGAGTTGAAAATAGCATGAACTCATGTTCAACTTAATATAGATACATAGATACAGATGGATACATATAGAAATATTTATAGACACATGTATATACAAGAGTGAGTATATACCTATTTTCCTGTACTGTCAGCTGAGAGGACCTAAAAGCAATGACATCCCAGTAGCAACAAGGACACCCAGTGCCCAGAAATTGGTTTCTAAAACCATTCTCCAACAAAAGGAACCAAGGTTGTTGGAGAAATAACTGATTATAGGGGTGGGGGAAAGAATATATAAAGTAAACCAGGGGCATCTTCTAGTGTCAGGAAGAATAAGGAAGTGTTTTTTAAAAGCACACATGCAACAACAGCAAAAACCCACCAGGATGGGTGGCATGTCACAAAGGGACACATTGAAACAGCTCCCAAAAAAACAAATCTGAAACAATTTGAGCAACACAATTATGTGATATTAGATTATAACCTAAAATATAAATTATGCATGAGTTCGTACTGATACAAATAAGTGACGGAATAAATAAGTAAATGGGGGATAATAGACAAATCTCCTAAGCACAGGAATTCCCAATAATTTCTCTGAATACTACCTCCCTCAGAGAGATGGAACATAATTCTCCACAACTAAAGTGTGATCTACTCACAGTGCCTTTCTTCCCAAGAGTACACTATGAAAAGAAGGGGAAGAGGAATTTTATGGGAGAAACCTGACAAACATAATTTTAGCCACACAATCAAGGTTCACATCAACAGTGATACGTCATTTAGATAGCATGTATGCATGTAAAAGCTAATTATGCAATTGATATAACATGATGAAATGAAATATGGTACTATGCCTGTTTGGTCTTCCTCCCAAAACTCTTATCTACCCACAGGAAAAACATCAGACAAACCCAAATTGAAGGACATTTTACAAAATACCTGACTAGGACTCTTCAAGATGTCAGGCTCACCAAAACCAAGGAAAGTCTGAGAAACTGTCACAGACCAGAGGAACCTAAGCAAACATAAACATGATATGGTATCTTGGACAGGATCCTAACACAGAAAAGGGACACCAGGTAAAATCAAAGGATATCTGATAAACTATGAAGTTTAATTAGTAATAATGTATCATTATTGATTCATTCGCTGTGACAATGTAGCATACTAGCATAAGACATTAATAATACAGAAAACTGAGTGTGGGGTGTATGGGAATTCTCTGTACTATCTTCACAGTTTCTCTGTAATTCTAAAACTGTTCTAAAATAAAATGTGTATTCAAGAAAAATGCTTTTAAATAAAAACTGCCTTCACTGAGCCCTAAATCCAGGTAACTCTTGGAGAAATTAAATCCTAAATTAGTAACTGATTACTACAGGTGATAAATTTGGTTCTTTCACTAAACAGATGAAAAGAGAGCTGGAGGCAGCAGTGCAGAAGCATACCTAGCCTTTCTAGATTGTATGTGTAACATTCCCATGTCAACGTTGTCATCCCCTGTCCCAATCGTCTCCAGCTGGCCAGTGTCACAGCACATCCCGCTCTGAGCCAGTTTCCATACTGCAGTGTTTGGTAATATCCACACCTCTGGAGAAGACCTACAGTGAGAACCCCAAGAGTTTTCTATGAGTACATCTATCTGCAAATTGTTTTCAGACAAGCTATTGGTAGAGTGTCTTCTCTCAAACTAAAAAGAGAAGTAGAAGAGAGAAATACAGAGAGAGAGAGGAGAGTGACAGAAAGAAAGAAAGAAATCAGCTACAAACTACTTCCAATGAACATCTAACATAATGAGTACTTTTTGGAGCTAAGACTGAGTAATATGAATAATACATCATGCCCATTACACTCTCTGCTTTCAGGAAAAGTTGCAGAAAATCTGAACAGGAACTCCTGATCCAAACATAAATAGAAGGATTTGGAGCAGTTTTAATACAAATTGGGCTTTTCATTTTTCTCCCCAGTGCTAAACTTCTCCCAGCTACCCTGGGCCAGAATCTCCTGATACACTTATTACAAACACAGCCCCCACTCCCAGGCCTAGCAAACCAGCATCGCTCTTAACAAACTCCAGGTGACTGCAATAAAGTTGGACAACCACTGTAGTCTGCCTTCACTGTTCTCACCACCACCCCATCCCTTCTCTTTTTCTCCAGCAACGAACAGAGTATATTGTTTGTGTTTATGTATTACAGTTCTCAGTTTTTAAAAGAACACACACTGCCAGGCACAATGGCTCAAGCCTGTAATCCCAACACTTTGGGAAGCCAAGGCGGGCACATCACTTGTTGTCAGGAGTTTAAGGCCAGCCTAACCAACATGGTGAAACCCTGTCTCTACTAAAAATACAAAAATTAGCCAGATGTGGTAGTGGGCGCCTATAATCCCAACTACTTGGGTGGCTGAGACAGGAGAACCTCTTGAACCTGGAAGGCGGAGCTCATGCCACCACAAACCAACCTGGGCAACAGAACAAGACTCCATCTCAAAGAGAAATGAAAAGAAAAAGAAGATCCGGGATCCAAGATGGCTGTTTAGGAACAGCTCAGGATTGCAGCTCCCAGGGAAAGCACAGAGGCTGCTGCAGGTGATCCCCAGACAAGCAGGGCCTGGAGTGGACCTCAGCAGACCTACAGCAGAGGGGCCAGATTGTCAGAAGGAAAACCAAAAAACAGAAATAACCTCATCATCAACAAACAGAACGTTCACTCAGAGACCCAATCTGAAAGCCAGCAACAGGTGGATAAATCCATAAAGATGGGAAGAAACCAGCGCAAAAAGGATGAAAACACCCAAAATCAGAACAACTCTCCCCCTACAAGGGATCACAACTCCTCACCAGCAAGGGAACAAGGTTGGATGGAGAACGAGTGTGATAAAATGACAGAATCAGACTTCAGAAGGTGAGTAGTAAGAAACTTCTGTGAACTAAAAGAACATGTTCTAACCCAATGCAAAGAAACTAAAAACTTGAAAAAAGATTTGACGAAATACTAACGAGAATGGACAAAATAGAAAGGAATATAAGTGAATTGATGGAGCTGAAAAACACAACATGAGAACATCGTGAAGCATGCACAAGTATCAACAGCCGAATTGACCAAGCAGAAGAAAGGATATAAGAGGCCGAAGATCAACTCAATGAAATAAAACAGGAAGGCAAGAATAGAGAAAAAAGGGTAAAAAGGAATGAACAAAGTCTCCAAGAAATGTGGGACTATGTGAAAAGACCTAATCTACGTTTGATAGGTGTACTTGAATGTGACGAAGAGAATGAATCCCAGCTGGAAAATACTCTTCAGGATATTATCCAGGAAAACTTCCCCAACCTAGCAAGGCAGGCAAATATTCAAGTCCAGGAAATACAGAGAACACCACAAAGATATTTGTCAAGAAGAGCAACCCCAAGGAACATAATCGTCAGATTCACCAGGGTTGAAATGAAGGAGAAAATACTAAGGGCAGCCAGAGAGAAAGGTCGGCTTACCCACAAAGGGAAGCCCATCAGACTCACAGCAGATCTCTCAGCAGAAACCCTACAAGCCAGAAGAGAGTGGGGGCCAATATTCAACATCCTTAAAGAAAAGAACTTTCAACCCAGAATCTCCTATCCAGCCAAACTAAGCTTCATAAGTGAAGGAAAAACAAAATCCTTTGTGAACATGCAAGTACTCAGAGATTTTGTCACTACCAGGCCAGCTTTACAAGAGCTCCTGAAAGAGACTCTACACATATAAAGTAACAACCAGTACCAGCCACTCCAAAAACATGCCAAATGGTAAAGAGAATCAATGCAATGAAGAATCTGCATGAACTAATGGGCAAAACAGCCGCTAGCACCAAAATGGCAGTATCAAATTCACACATAACAATATTAACCCTAAATGTAAACAGACTAAATGCCCCAATCAAAAGACACAGACTGGCAAATTGGATAAAAAGCCAAAACCCATTGGTGTGCTGTATCCAGGAAACCCATCTCACATGCAAGCATACACAAAGGCTCAAAATAAAGGAATGGAGGAAGATTTACCAAACAAATGGAGAGCAAAAAAAAGCAGGAGTTGCAATTCTCATCTCTGATAAACTAGACTTTAAAGCAACAAAGTTCAAAAGAGACAAAGAAGGACATACATAATGGTAAAAAGATCAA